AGGGTCTTCAAAATGAAGTTAATGTCTCAATGCAGTGACTCAGTTTCCAACTATTTTCACTTGGAGTTTATTCATGTTTAATGCATCTATTGTGCTGTTTGTGCTTTAAACTTTCCGTGAGTAATTTATTTCTTAGAGTCAAGGGTCCATAAGAAAGGAGCAAACTGCCGCGTTTCAAAACCGCTGAATAATAATTTGTAGAAAAACAACTCATGAATATGTATAGCTTGCAGGGTAACTGAAAGGTTACTTTTTATGCTTTCCTTTGTGACCAATAGTTCAGCACTGCATGCACATTTATAAATATATCCCTTAAATTGAAGAAAAATTTTAAATACCATGTGTCCCTGCTCACCCATGTATAGAGTGAATACATAACTTGGCCAATTTGAACATTCCTGGTACTGTAAAATATCTCTGAATAAACAATTACGTTTAGTTTACATCCAACACAGTACTGGGATTTGTGGCATAAATTACATTTACAAATAAAAACGCACACTCGCGCTGCGTCTCTTCTGTGTTCGTCGATACTGCAGTCGCGCACACGAACTGTTAACGAACAATTAATGCATTCACTGGCACAAACACGACTTCGAGTTGTAATGTGCGCGAGTATAACAACCCGAAGACAAAATGCTTTTGTTTTGATAGGACACTCAGGACTATCGTGAAAGTCCAAAGATCAATTTTTTTTAGGGGGGGGGGGGGTTGGGCAGAACCTATTATCCGGATGCATCTGTACACATCACTCCTATCATATCAAACTTGTTTTGAAGCTCCTATCAAATCCTCCAATAAATGTACTTCATTATATATAATTTGGGGTTATTTAAGATATTAATAAACTCTTGAAAACAACAGCAGTCAAGAAAGCTTCAAATCAAAATTGAACTATAAAATGATCTAATGTAAATTAATGGCTCCATACATCATTAAACGCCTTCATCCGGAAGTTGAGTAACGAGGCATAGAAAATGGTATAATTGAAGTTAGAGACACAGAGAGAGGAACACGTGAATTGGAGAGACATACGCACGGTAAGTCCGTGATAATGTTCGTAAAGTAAAGTAAGAGAGGTCAACAGGACACATCACTGATGACTCAAGACAAATGATGGTGAGAACCTAGGAAGGGGGACATCTGACAAGACGATGAGATCCACTCCTGTGCGGCTGTTAGGTGGTCTTGTTGCATCACAGCATCGTGAGAGGTGCTGACAGCTTGGGGTTGACTTCGTACAGCAGTCGAATTGCCAAGGCTGATGGTGATTATAACAGGCGCGCATCATCCATTACCTACAATGAGTCTATGCGTTAAGTTTTATGTTGTTCATAATACAGTATAGGTTTTTTGGGGTTAGATCGCGTAAATATTTGTCGTTAAACCCACCACCACCCGACACAGCCAATAAGGTTTGTCATGAAAACAGAACGTGTCAATTCGTTACTTGTACAGCACACTGGGGTGTTAGAGAGTAAATCCAAATCTGACTGCGATTGTAAATGTTGTGGATTTGCTCTGCAACACACTGATGTGCTGTACTCGTGCAGTGTCAACGATTCAGAGACAGAGTTTATAGGAGGCCTTCTTCATGAACAACTTCCACGGTCTTGTACAGGCACTCTCCAATAATTGACTGTGCCGGGTGGTGGTGGGGGTATCGACACATTCATAATTACGCGATCTAACCCAAAAAAACTATATTATGGATGATTTTGGACGCGAAAGCCTACTTGTTCAACTTTGATGCTGCTCTTTGCCTCCTAGGTATGTTCAACGTGTTCAAATATTATTGCATGACTTTTATGTGAATACTCTTAGTTTTTTTCGGTAAAGTCACGTAGGAAAAAAGTAATAATAATAAATAAATAATAGACAGCATAGGAATAATAATAAAAGTAGTTTATTTATATAACTATTTCTATTGTTTTAATTATTTATTTATTGTTATATATATCTATTTATTATTTCTGTTGTTTTATTATTTATTTAGTCTTATATATTTTTTTACCTACGTGACTTTACCGAAAAAACCTAAGAGTATGAATCCTTGCAGTCACGAATGCTTCAAATCTAGAATTGTATGTGAATGTAGTGTTGAATGAGGATCTGCAATTCATATTTGAAATATTTAAGCTGAGGGTATGACTTAGAAATTGGAAAAATAGGAAATCACGGACACTTGTATGAGTTCTGGTGTAATACACCCTTCCAAGTTGTAGGTGTTATAGTTGCTTGGAAACAGAAATTATGATGAATCAGTTAATTTCAAAATTGTATACATTGCTTTCCAAAAACTGACTAATCTTTGATGTTAATTCAACTCTCTAATTAGTGACAATTAAATAGCATCCTAACAATTTGGTGGTGTAGTGTACCCGGCTAAAGCATATTAATTAAATTGAGTGTAAAAGTAAATAAATTAGTAAAATGTGTGCCCAAGCACTAACAACAACAACAACAAAATTTGCCAATACCATTGCCCGAGAGGAAAAACACATCACGTAATAGACGATATTGCTTGCAAGAAAGAAGGTCCTTTGCCTGAAACGTTGCCTGTTATATTTATTTATTCTGTATGGGACAGTTTTATTGACACGTTTTAACGTTTATCTCTTTAACCAGATGATAACTCAAGAGACCAAGAGAGCCTCATTTGCAAAAGTGACCCGGTTTACTAAAATGTCGATAGCAAAATAAATAAAATTATGTACCGCAATGAAGCAAATATTAACGAAGCCAATATGAATCAAAACAACAACATCTGTGTCACATGAGGAATCGAAAAGTGCACAACCATGAATCAATCTTAAACAATACATTCCCTGCAGCCAAACTCGGCTGAGGAAGCTAATTTTTAGATTGATTACACAGGATGGCCCTGATGTTTAGTGACCCCCAATTAATTGACAACATTGTCTTTTATTTGCATATTAATTTCTGTTTCAAATAAACAATATATATTTAAAAATCGTTTCAGAGAATTAAAAGAGGGGGGGGGGGGTCACAAGACATCTGGACCACCCTGGGGTTACAACAAAATGAAGTGAAAGAAACGTTAAACATTTTTCAGCTAACAATTTTCGAATCTGAAAAGAGAAAATATTTGTCAAATACGGTTAACTTTACATTTATAACGCATCGTACAGACGCGCACCACACCGACACAAACACACAAGTAAAATAGCAACCGTGTAATGCCATGCATTTTAGGGGGGAATACAATCAGCAGAGCCGTCCATAGTGGGGTGGGTGGTGTCAGGGCCTGGGGCAACTCACACCGCGTGGGCCCCCACCATCCACGACGCCTTCAAACTAAATGTCACTTATACATCTGACACCGTGACATCAAAGCGTGGGGCCTCCACAAAGCGACCCCCCCCCCGATTCATCGTATGTTTGTATGTTTATATGCATGTTGAATTCTCGCACCGTACGTAGCCAACCGTGCTAATCGAAGGTGCGCTGATAGAGCGTGGTACCGTAGGGACGGCTCTATCGGTGAGAAGCTACCGAGGCCAATGCATCACGCAAAGGGGCAGTGTGGCCAGTGCCACGTGACATATTCCTCTCCCCACGAAAAATATTCGAACATTGCAGCCAGGTTCTCATTCGACACCGAGGTGATGAGTGTATTTATTTTTACTTATTTCGCACCGTACGTATCCGACCGTGCTAATAGGATGTATAGCCAACCAGGGATGGCTTCAGATGCCACTGCGCTACAAATATGAATATCCTCTGTTGGGAATAGAACCCATGTCAAGGACTGAACTGTTCTGCATGAATCACGACATCACCACTACCCACGAAACATACACGACATCAACTACCATTAGCAACAAAGTGACGTTGACATAAAAAAAACACCGCCTGTACCAGGCTAGGTGCACTTTGAAGCAATGTGAAGTCTTGAAAGCTCACCGGTAGCAGGGAGGTCGTGGAACAGACACAGGTGCTATGGGATAACTTACCCAGATTACTGGCAAACTCTTTACCTGCGCTCCCCCACTGGACGAAGTCCACTATTTATGCTCGCCCTCATGCTGCTCGCTCTTGCGAGCATTGCTCCCGTGACTTGCTTTGCTCATGGAGGGCAGCTTCCACCAAATGCCAGGTAATCAAAATCAGTATATTTATTCACACAGGAGGAATCCAATGAGCTGCAAAGCTCTTTTTCACCGATGTCCAGTAGATGTATTTCACGAGGCACCTCCTGACACCAATGGTGCTCTTGTTTGTTGATTGAGTTTTTGATTAATCTGGCCAAAATTGGCCAAGGACATAGCCCACCTTTCGCCCATGCAACCACAGAGCACAGACTACATAACTCGTGGTCAGTGAAGCCATCTCGTCCGCTTGTACCGCATCAGCCCATCAGCAGTGGCTGGGCGTGCGGGACTTCGTGACCCGGCCCTCCAGGTCACGTCAGCAAGCCCCACACATCGTCCCCTGCTAGAGGAGCTCAGCGATGGGATAACCACACACAAAACAAAGATCCCCCGTATAGCCTGCAACAGTCTGTTGGGACAAGTGCTGTTGGCGAGCACCTATGAAGGCCGGCACGGCACACGAGGAGGTGGGTGGCCAACACCACGCCCGACCACCTTTGTCTTCCCAGTAGCGATGTTACACATCGCACCGGCTACTCATTTGAGGCTGAGTCGACATAGGGGATGCCCAGGACCGGTTAAGATAATCGTCACCGGTGTTTGTTCGTGAGGGTGAATCGAACCCGGTTCATCAGGTTCGTAGCGCAGCGCGCTAACCGCTACACACACACGTGCGTGCAACGTGCATTGCTCGATACGAAACAGAGGCACGTAATTCTCTTTCCACACAACGGCCCATAGCATCTTTTTCGTGATCAAAGACCAGAATGTGTAATCCACCTGTTTAATTGTGTTGGGTAGGAGGAGGTGGGGGTAATGGGTTTGGGTGGGAGATGGGTGGGGTGGGGTGGGAGATGGGTGGGGTGGGGTGGGGCGCGAACAAAATCAATTAAAGCTCGTCTCCGCTTCATCCCGCGTGCCACCGCCGCCGCTGCTGCAGCTGAAGCCCTTCGCGTCGATCTTGCCCACGACCTCCACGCAGGCGGCGGCGGTAACGGCGGTGGTGGTGGTGGTGGTGGCGGTGGTGGTGGCGGAGCGGCCCCGTGCGGCCTTCCCCGTGGCCCAGGGCACGTCTCGCGCAGCGAAGTGCCGCGGGTCGCGCGGAGCTCGCCTGCGGCACATCACCTCCCTGAACATGTCGCGGAAGCGTGTAGGACAGCAGGTTGTAGATGACGGGGTTCACCACCGAGCTGAGGTAGAAGAAGACACCCGAGACGAGGTGGACGCACTGGAACATGCCGTGGCTGTCCTCTGTCCACCGGTGGACGAAGCTCCACACTAGACGGTCGGTGTGGAAAGGCGCCCAGCAGATGCCGAACACGATCACCAAGACGTCTGGGTGGGGGGGGTTGGACATCGGTGCCACATAGGAATGTTGTAGTTTAAACGTGTGGTGTGTTAAAATGATGTTTATCATAACTATCGATAAACCAGTTTAACACGTAGGCTTTCGCGACCAATGTTATTAATAATCAACGTTTTTGGGTTTAGATCGCGTTATTTATAAATGTGTGGCTTCAACACACCGGTGGCCTAAAGCAGTGAACTATTTGTCTTTTGTCAACGTGACACTTTTTTTACTGATTGGCCGTGTCGGGTGGTGGAGGGTTACGACACATTTATAAATAACGCGATCTAAACCCAAAAACGTTGATTATGAATATCGATAAACCAGATTGTCGCTTCTCAAGGCCCTCTTTCGGGAGGGTTCCTGCCAAGATTTGGAAGACGTTGGGGCGGTGCTGCTGCTGCTGCTTGTGAATCCCACGTGGAATGTTACTATTCTACTTTACTACTTTTATTTTACCAGGTAAGGCCCACTGAGTCACATGGCTCTTTTTCAGAAGCGACCTGGCTCTCACAAATTATCATCCAATGAAGTGGCTTTTAATGCAGCCAAATACAAAGTGCTTAGAACAAATGTTAACACTTAAATGGGACTATCGTTTTTAATGGAAAAAGAACGGATAATACACTGTAACATGATATAACAAATTGATGTTAATAGCTTCAAAAAGTCAGTCTCCGCTAGTTGGCCATCATTGTCAACACATTGCCTTGAATCTTCTCCAGGTGGTCTCCAGAGCCAGGAGTCACATTTCTTGTGGTATTGTTGCAAATGATCATAAGTGTTACCGTTTTTTTGAAGCACCCTGAACTCTAAACGCATGTTTAACAACCATCGGACACGTGCAGGGTGTGTGAGTTTATTTATATTTGAATGCGGAGTAAATTGGTGAAAGCCGAAAGACGCAGCAGTGTGTTGGAAAACGAGCACGAGGGTTTGGGAAACCCTGGGTTAAAGCAAAAGGAAATGCACAGCCGAGGATATTCCATTGTACAGTGCTTGGCAGGCAACTCTTTCTTCATCATAAACTGCCAGGGTTCAATTAGAGGCAGCTTTTACAAACGATGTGAAGGTTTTATTGATGGACAGTCTGCACACACATAGAATGGCCAATACAAAATTATATATATACAGAGTACGACCGTACTCAACACTTCCAGTGATTGATTTATGGATACATACTTAGGTATATAATGAGTCAAAGGAGCTGCAGCGATGATGCTCATTTCCTCTTTGTGACCCTGAGCCAGTCGTGCATATTCCACATTCCCATGGCGAGGCAAGTTTATCCACTGTTGACTTCCGATTAGCACGGTTGGTTATGTACGGTGTGAAAGAAGTTCAGCTTCCCCACAAAGTGATATTTCAAATGTATCTACTCCAGAGAGATGACGGGCTGATCCAAGCCCAAAATGAGGATTTGAAATCGCAACACTTTCCATGGGTCACAGAACCACCTGTCCAGATTATTCGATTACAGTTTCCAATTAATAGTGTAATCTGTGTCTATTCAATCAATACCGTTTGTGCGTATCAATTAACGGATGCTAACCACAAAATGGTCAGCATGCATCTCACACGCCATACACATGAAGTGCAATCGTGCGTGCGGTACTCACACAGCATCTTCGTGACTTGCCGACACTTGGACCTGTTCGTCCGAATCCTCTGGTTTTTGAACGCGCCGCGTCCCTCGCACTCGTGGGGCACAGCCAGGCTCTTCTCCCGGCGCAGCTGCCTGCCGATGAGCAGGTAAAGCACGCTGATGGTGGCCATGGGCACGAGGAAGAAGAGCAGCGCGGTGAGCTGCACCACGACGTTGTAGATCCAGCGCGGCTGCGTGACGATGCAGATGGTGGACTCCTCGTAGGGCTCGCCCAGGGGAGACCGCAGGTAGTGGATGCCGTGCAGGCTCGTGTTGGGCACGGAGCAGCAGACGGAGGCCACCCAGAGGCACGCGATCACTCGCCTGGCATGCGTCCTGGTGACCAGCCACCTGGCCTTGAGCGGGTGGACCACGGCGATGTAGCGCTCGACGCTCAGCGCCGTCACGTTGAGGACGGAGGCGAAGCAGACGGTCTCGAAGAGCATCGTCTTGAAGTAGCAGCCGCCCTCGCCGAACAGTGACGGGTAGTTCTCCCACATTTCGTACAACTCTAGGGGCATGCCCAGCACGAGCACGAGCAGGTCCGACACGGCCAAGCTGAAGAGGTAGAAGTTTGTGGGTGTGCGCATGAGTCTGTGACGCGAGATGACGATGCACGTCAAGAAGTTTCCCACGACTCCCGTCACGAAGATGGGCAGGTAGATGGCTAGGACGGGAAGAAAGAATGGGGACATCCGTGGTCCCAGCAGCTCGGTGATAACTTGACTCCTGGTCATGTAGAACTCAACTGGCAGACTGTAGTTCGACGTTTGGTTATCGTCCGATGAGTTGCAGAGGTCCTTATAGAGCATGTGGTAACTTGGGTCAGAGCTGAGAGTCAATATTTGAAGCTCTGAACAATTTCGGTTTAACATTTCTTCAAAGATCGTCCTTTCCATGTCTGGTTTGTACATTACGTACATATATAGCATGCAATTACAGTCTACAACTAATATTTGTCGAACCTAGATATAGAGTATTGATATCTTCGGTGTCGATAAAAGGGTGCAAATTTCATGGAATGAAGAGAACACTTTACAGCCAGCATGCCCTCGATGATTATAAATTTAAAAAATTTCTGCTACTATTTCATGAAAGAAAAATATTGATTACTGTAATACATGTATTAGCATCATTTAATATATAATGTTCATTCGTTGGCTGGAAGCTCTGACATGAAACAAAACACAGCATGTGTCCTCATTTGGATACATATAACCAGTGTCCCATTTGACTAAATTATGCTTGTAAAATCCCCCAATTTGAATCTGAGGATGAACCAAGTTTAACTTATAAATATGGTAATATACCTTTTGATTCAGAGAAACATTGACAGCTCCATGCTGTAAATAAGATTCGTGTCATTACTGGTTGAGCAAATGATTTACATAACCAGGCAAATTATTCCTTCTTGTCGAGCATGTGTATTCTACATGACATCACAGTTTATGAATCGAAATTTATCAATACAATATCAGGGGAAATAAAATCAATATTAGTTTACATTTAAGTAAAGCAAACGGTTCTTGTATATATATACACACATTTAAATACTGTAGACATATGAAACTGTTTACAACATAACTATATGCATAAATGCAAACATGGTGCGCTCTAGCAACTACTCAAAAAGCTAAACCTTCACTCAACAAACCGTATTTTTATAGACCCACAGTGCAGTTTCATAAAAAAAATATTTTAACAAAATATATTGCCAAAGCATTCAAACCACGTAATATATATTACGTATTAAAAGTAACAATTCACCATGTACCTGACATCAAGAATAAGCAGCACGTCACGATACTACGATTTTAAATATCCACGGGGGGGGGGAGCTTTCGACCGTCTCCCCAAATCTTGTCCGAGCGTCAACAACAACAAGAGCTATCGAATTTCTTAAGCTCCCATCAATTGCGCGAGCCTTGCAAAGACAGGACACCCCACTTGCTCTCCGTGATATATAGCTGTGAAGCGTCACGTGATCACGCCAATTCGTTTACTGCATTTCACAAAAAAAAATCAGGCAGGCAGGCAGGTTTAGCAGCGAGTTTGCTTCCTCCGCTACTGTGGTTGAGTGGCTGTTGTTGCTTCAAAACCTATTCAGGCAGGGGTCATGCAACCAACATACGGTGAATATCTCATTACAATAATCTGCTTGCAAAAGGAGACACCTTGTGACTTAAAAAAAGCCCAAGCATCTCAGAAGCCTTACACTATATGTAACGGTGTTTTTTGGCAACGACGTACGAGCCTTTGTAGTAATCACTGATCAAAGAATGATAAGAATTCCTTAATTACCCAGGCAGTCACACTTAGTCCAAGCAGTATTTTTAGGACGGTCCAGCATTGCATACATTATATAAAGATATTTTCAGCCAATTAGTCAATGTGAATATATATTTGTGGATAGAAACTTGAGCACGTGGAGAGAACCCACAGGAGAGGGGGAAAGCACTCTATCCCATACAGATGGGACAGATGACATTCGTCCACACTTCGTGTAACCGCCTTTTCCTTGGTGAGCCCATGGTATGGCATCTTGACGCCCAATGAGAAGCGAGTTCCCCAACATTGTTGTGATCCATCAACCCTTGCCTCCACAGGGGCGAATTACAGACACGTGTCATCACTGCCCGAATGTAAGACACGTTCCTTCAGAGTGGGCAGGTAGGAACTTGGTTGGACAGCGCATTCGCGCACGACAGAAATTCCGCGGTCACGTGACGCACTTCAACCAATCCGGGAGCGTACATGTTTGGGAGGGGCTATGCACGACATACAAATAATCCCTCGTGGGCAGTGTGGAACTGTTGTTCCTACCTGTATAAAATAAAATAATGTATATAATACAATGTCTATGTATGCATTCATCCATACAGTCTCAGCCAACCCAATTATATTACCACTTACGTTAAAACATGTCACTGTTGAACTGCCAAACAGCTTTGTGTAATTAACGTAGCTAGATATTGTGTATCCGTGAGTGTATTAATTAAGTAATTATTCCTCAGATAATTACAATCAGCACACTTAAATTATCATTGTGCCACATGTCTGTGTGGAGAAATAATTTCAGTGTGATGTATCTGTTGTTCATGTCACCTCGACCTTTTAGATAGAAACATTTAAAATGGTATAGTATATCTACACATTTAGATTTTTACATTTTATACAATCATAGTTGTAGGAGTGCAGGTAATTATTTATCATGTAACAAATCTATTGCCTTTTTTGGTCAAAATAAAGATGCTAGGATTTGATGCTCTGCAGCCTCGAATTGGTGGCTCTGTTTGAAAACACAAACTCGGCCTACGTTTTATACCTCAGAGGCCTTCTTTGTTTGGATACCATTGTCTTGATCACATTTTATCATTACTAATTGATGGACCATAAATTTTGACTTAATATTCTTTGCTTCTTTCGGTAATGTCACCTAGCATGCGAAGGACACATATATATAGAACTACTAGATTGACTACCCGGCTTCGCCCGGGTCTTGGATGTATGTAACTACATTCATGACGACCAGACACAGCTTCATTTATGGCATTGTCTCATCAAAAATTAATATTATTTTGATGTTGTACCACAAGCATGTGTGGTTAATGTGTGGTTAATGCAGACTTGATGCCTTGCAATAGATGTCTTTTTTGGTATTTGAACATCTTATCACCTCCTGTGTTACTGTCGAAAAGGGTAGAGCCTATGCTTTTTTCATCATCTTGACACTGGCACAGATGGTGCCATAGATACAACTATATTCATGCTATCAATCATATGTTGGATTAGACTGATGAATATTGATTATGATTCTGGCTAGCGCTATTCACAGCAGCATACAAACATTTTCTTCAGAAAATTGGATTGGAGAAACATTGCCCTGAAAATAAATGGAGAAAATATTAAGCATCTAAAATTCAATGATTGATATAGTCATTTAACTACAAATGGAAATGGGTGACGATAAATAATACTATAATTCAATGAAGAAGACTGGAAAGTGGACCTCAAGATAGATATGAGAAAAAAACAATATATGAGGCATTATGGGAAAAATATAATAAAAGGGCATTGGAAGGGAAGCGTAGTAGTTGTTCGGTAAGAATATGCATCCCATTTATTGTAAAATACAATGCTGCATGCATGTCATGCACATTTCCGTTTCTTTTTTTTCCGTAGAAATACAAAAAAAAAAAATGCACGAATGATTGTGCATTCAAGACAAATGACATCTAGATACGGATAATTTCAGCCAAACCCTTCATCAGTGCAAATTTTGAGCATATTTGTGCCCACATCAAGAGGACAAATAGTAGTTTTATATGCAATCATGAGAGCTAGTTTTTACAATCTACTTTTTATTTCATGCCGAAATGTTATCAACGTAAGATTTCTTGACTGTGTCCTTCACGAGATAATTTAGTGTTTAATGGGTATTTTAAATGTATTTTGTAACCACTGCACAGTATATACATTTCACAATGGTTTTAAAAAATATGTATCTTCACAGTTGTATACATACCGTGTGTAATTAAGTGTGCGCATCTTTTTTTCTGTCCTTCCAATTTCCATCGCTGATATCAGCAGCATATGACGAGATTGCTGCACCTCCTGGCGTTAGAAAACGGTACCCGTACATTGCATCGTAGAACTACTTCTGAGCTCCATTCTCCAGGCCTCGATTCACACCAGCAACACCGCTCAAACAGCACTCGTCAACTGCCAATCGAAAATGCTTCAACCTCAGAGCTGAAGCAGGCTAAGGGGCCATCCATAAATGACGTGACGCGATTTGGGACGATTTTTTACCCCCCCTCGTCACAAAAAGTCAGACCCCCCTCAAACATGACGTCATAAAGCTTTGCCCCCTCCAAAAAAATTAAACATGCTTCAAATCGCTTTAAACTCTTGTCATTGTAGTGCGTATTTAATGTGGCGCTGCACTCTGATGTTGTAGGAGAAAGCATTTATTAAAAAGTATATTTAATTAAGTAGAACGTGTTGTCTATATTTATTTAAAGTTGCGCATTTTGATGTGACGTCACATTTCTCAGCCCCCCCCCCCCTCCTCGTCACACATCGTCACAAATGTCTGACCCCCACCCAAACCGCCCTAGGTGCGTGACGTCATTTATGGACGGCCCCTAAGGTTCGTGACAAATCACAAGCAATATGACGTGTTGGTCTGTTGGTTGTGCAGTCACCGCCAAGATCAAACTCTAATGTCATGTTAGAATCCAGCTTACTAAAAGATGACGGGCAAGGATTTGACCATCGTATCTTTTGCGGTGGCGGCTTAGTCCTCTCTTGGTTTAGCCCGAAGATCAAACAATACAGATTAGAGATCAATCGAGATTTGAAGTTTTCGTGACTGCAGGGATCCATACTCTTTGGTTCTTTCCTGTCACCTAGATAGTTACACACAGTCATGAATTGTTTACATATGCGACGAAGCAAATATGTGTTGTAATACATATAAATCATGGAGAGCAATAATTATATTAAGGCCACCAGATACCACCTTGCAACCTAATTTGGTACACGTGTGAAATTTGCCATTAGAAAACCTATATAAATCCAAATGAGCGATTCAAAAATGCATTGCAGTAAAACATCAACGCTGATGGGACGGATGCTAGATTATAGATGGAATATGCCACTCAACAACAGCTGCTAAACAAAAAATAAAAACACTGCCTTCCACTCGCAATCATTAGATTTGCAATACTATCGTGTGCACTAAAATAAACGGCACGTGATGTTCATGAAACATACGGTAATACATGTCTGCACTTGAAACATACGAATAATTAGCATTTCCCTTTGTATTACAGATGTATTATTATATTTAGGTTGACATGAATTAAAAAGTCGAAGTTACTTTCATTTGAAATCTTGAAAGGCAGTATAACATTTTACGTATTATATTGCAGTCTGTTAAAGGTGATACCACAAAACTACATCTGAGTTTACTTCAAATGACCTCTTATGCACACCACGTGTGCTGAACTATCCCACCACATGGCCATGCTGTAGCAATGTACATTGCAAGGCACAGCTGCGATTGTGCCAAACGTATCTTTGGAAAGATAAAACATAAACGTGATGAGGAAGGGTGGTTTTTGTGTGCAGTTGTTGGTGAATGAGGCTAAAGTCCCAATCTTTACAGTGAAGCCTTCCCAATGAATTACATAAACAAGCTATACAAATGACAACTATAGTGTCCCATCGTGCACAGAACCATAACTATTCAGGTATACAAGAGAACAAATGCTAAGTTTACTATTTGTATTTTAATTTGTTTCTTTGAAAAAAAAGTCGAAATATCAAAGCTAATAAACACTCCCCACACCAAGAACACAATTTCATCCATGGAAAAAAATATGCCTTATTGCAGAATGCATATCAGGCAGCGGGTCTGAATATCATAAACAACGGTACACTGATTCTAGATTTGAAGCTTTCGTGACTGCAAGGATTCATATTCTTAGGTTTTTTCGGTAAAGTCACGTAGGTAAAACAGAGCTGTCGTGGCTGTGACGGTTCCACCTGAAGACGGAAGCTTGTGTTGCCTCCGAAACGTCGTGATTTTTATTTTATTTTACTTTTATTACTTTTAATGTTTTACCTACGTGACTTTACCGATAAAAACGGTACACTGTACTACACATAAATGGCACAATACAATATCAAGTACATACATATATTTGTGAAATTAACAAAATATACAAGAACATCAATTCCACCTCATTGTGTTACAGCCATCCATC